CCTGCAAGAATAACACAGACATTTCCAAATCAGGCAGTAAAAGCGTGTAATCATAATGACGCACTGAAGAAAGCTTAACAAATTAAGCAGTTGAAGAAACTGCAAGTTAAAAAAAGATATTAGTACAGTTTTGTGTTTAATTCCTCCCTACAGAACAGCTCCTAAGGCCTGGTTAATTGTAGCATCATCAAGATTTTGCCTTAGTAATGCAATCCTTTTCTACAGGGTGGTCGGCATTTTAGTAGGGCTTGACAGGATTAATTGTTATACTGTATTGTGTCCAGTCCTGCTGCAACCAATTTCTTTTAGGAGAGTTTGTTTAATCACTATGTAGTGAATGGAGACAAAATGTACAGTACACTGTATATAGGATTCTGAAGTCTTAAAGAGAAGTACTACAAAAGCATTCTGCTGCCATCAGTGGGAACCACAGTCCTAGACAATGAAAGACAGTATGATTGTATTCTTTTTCTCTTTAGTCAGTAATTATAGATGAAATCTTCCCAAACAGAGAAAGACAGGGCAGAATTGAATTCTACCTGTACACTCTCATTCCCTTGATGACCTTTGAAGTAGTCCTTTGGTAGGTTTTGTAATATCTCAGAATTATGAAATTTAGTGTTTTTATATACTATAATTTTATAATAACTTTTGTACAAATATTTCATATAGAAAGAAGTCAGGACGAAACCTGATTACCGCACATTGCCAAACAGTAATTTATATTGATTACTGCCATGTTGTGGGTGCAGTGCAAAAGCTCTTCATATCCAAGCTTATTAGCTGAGGTGCAGAGCAGCACAGAACACTTACTGTTATGTCTTGTGGCAATCTTGAGATTGTAGATCCATCAAAGAAAATCTTATGAACATCAGCAGATATAATTTTTGTTAGCAAACCCTATCCCTCATACAGAATGACACTTCTATTTAAAGATGGTGTGTACTGTAAGCTCAGAATTATATTGTCCCTGCTTATTGTTCCTTTAGAGAAAAGCTTGGCCCCTTTGGGAGATGTACTGTATTACCTTGATCATTTCCAATTCTAATTTCCAATCAAGTCCTCCTCTTGTTGAATTAATAAAATGTGATATGCAGAGATCAGGCCTCAACATATACATATAATCAATGACCACAATACAGACTATTTTCTGAGAATGTACTGATCGTTTTCTGTACAAAGGTGTATAATACAGTGTTTCAAGTATCAATAATTTTTTCAGCTGTCAGCCTTTTGTCGTTAACATTTTCTCTACATGTATTAGAACATGTTTTTGAGTCAGAAATATTCCTTCATCCCTGCGGTCCCCAGGCAATGTCTCTATCTATACTGCTGTTATACTGCTGTCTATCTATACTCAGGTTTAATCTGAAGGTAGACAGACCAAGAATTGATCACGGTATTGATCCTGTCGGATTTGAACATGCCTGGTGTCTCATTCCACATGGGAAAAATTTTACATGGGAGCAAAATATATATGATTCATTCTTATAGTTGTGGCTATAACTATAAGAATAAATTGTATATGATCTAATTGTCATCTTCAATTATGGTTAGAATTTTACTGTTTTTCACAATATAATATTGGTTAAAAAATATGTACTTGAACTTGAACTTTATTGCCATATGTAACTGGTACATGTACTGGCACAATGGAATTTAGGCAAAATGTTTACCAAACCCTGTGAAGAGGTTTAGAAAATTGGAAGAATTAATGCTTACCAAAATCTCAACAAGATGATGAAAGGCTTATCAGTTCAAGCAATAATGTTCTATCAATAATATTTCTTTATGATAGTCCAAAACTGCCAGATTTTCACTTTGAATGAAAAATCCTGAGTACACTCAAGAATCACTTTCCAAAATCCTGATCCTCACCTAAAAGACTCAGCATAGTTTGGAACCTTAATACCTGTCTGGCTTACTATCGTTCTACTCCCCACTTTTCAGTCTTTGTTTGTCTAATTCTGGTCTCCTGTCTGTCCCCCAAGCCTGTCTACACTCTATGGATGACAGGGCCTTCTCCTCTTATGCCCCAAAGCTCTGGAATTCTCTCCTTAAAGATATAAGAGAGTCACCTTCCCTGAGCTCCTTCTAGACTGAAAACCTTCTGTTATTTTATTTAACTGGTTCTGTGTGCACCTCAGCTTCTAACTGTATGCTATACCCTGCTGTACTATTTATTCTCAACGTTTATCTTTGTGGGAGTTCTGTAAAGAGCTTTGAGAATCCACTTTTAAAGGTTCTGTATAAAAAATAAAAAGTATATTATTTATTATTAGAATGATCTTAGATTCTGCTGTTCCGTTCATTAAGACTGAAAAAGATAACTTTTCTATTTGTCCAGGAGGTGTCGCTATGAGGCAGCCAACGATTTAAATCCCAAGACCATTCAAAAATTCCTTTAATGAAATTAGAAGAAGCTAAGATTTGCAGTGGTTCTCTCAAAAGTCGCATTATTACACTTTTGAACATGTTGCTCATCTATATATGCAGAGTCCCAAGGGGTATGAGGTCTTGGCTGTATCTAATCTTCTAGTTACTGCCACTGCTTACATATTTATTTATTATTTCACAGAATTTTAGACAGACAATATTGGCATAGTACTCACTGCGGGCAACACACTGGCAAAGTGGTTAGCACTGCTGCTTCATAGTGTTGGTGTCCTGTGTTCAATGTCGGACCTGGGCTGCTGTCTGTGTGGAGTTTGTATGTTCTCCCCATGTTCGCCTGGGTTTCCTCTGGGTGCTCCACAGACGTACTGGTAGGCTCATTGGCTTCTGGGTAAACTGACCCTGGCTGTAAGTGTGTGTGTGTGTGTGTGTGTCTGTCTGTGCGTGCCATGTAATGACTGGCATCCTATCCTGGGTGTGTCCTGTCTTGTGCCTGTTACTTGCTGGGATAGTCTCCTCTGACCCTGATTGGATGAAGTGGTTAGAAAAGAATGGATGCTTATTTTTCATGTTCAGAATACTGACTATTATTCGATCTAACCAGTGTGGCCACACCGTCAAGCCCTAGACTCTCAGATTGCTGTTAATTTCACATATGACGTCTTTTGTTGGCGGGTCTTTATTGTGTGGGGATAGGTGGAGACTGAAATCCTTTTAGGCTGCCTTCGTTTATAGGAATTGTGTTTATAAAAAGACGTATAACTGAACTTAATGTACTAAGGCAAAACCTGTCAGCCCAGACTGTGGCATTTTTTAATATAAAACATCTGTTTAATTATCCCTTTTTCCTTCCTTAAGTTTTTTTTTTCTGATTTTGAATTCCCTTTTATGGTGTTGTTTAGTTCTGTAATTGTTCAACGTTTGTTATGGTATAAAAAGTTAAATAATTGGTTTAGAAATGCATACTGTGCCCTCCTAACGTATCAGGAAAGCATTGTTAAAACTCTCATTTTTGCTTTACAGTCAGGCAGTTTATATCTGTGATCATTATATTATCATGAACAATATGTACTTTATAATATGCAATTTACTTTGAAGCAATTTCACAGATGTATTTGACCATAGAACAAGAACATACTTTGTGTTCACCCCAGTGATTTTAAGTGACCATAAGTATCAGAACACATTTCCTTTAGGTACATTTCAGTATATAAAAGCCAGTATTTGGTTGCAAATCCTCTGAGCCCATAACTGCATGAAGTAATCATTGTGTAATCATTTCAGATGCATTTCTGCAGCCACTTTGAGTTCTTGCCTATTACTTGGTGGACTTTTTTCAGCAATTAGAATACATGCTCAGTTGGGTTTAAGCCTAGAGAAAGACTTTACTAGTCCATGATTTTCCACTTCTTTCAGCTAATGAGCCCACTGATTGTATTCACCATACAGTTTGGATTATTGTCATGCTACAGTGTGAAGCATTGTCCAAAAGATGTGAAAGAACTTTGTTCTGCATAGACACAAGGGTTCAGAAAAACGTACTTGGTGTCTTCATCGGTTACACCATTAATAAAGATGCAGAAGCCATGCAGGTCCAGATCACGACATCGATCATGACCAACACTCTTCTGGCTCAGCTTTGTAGTTCCACTCAGTTTCTAATCTGTTGTTGTGGTTTTCTGTGTCACTGAGAGTTTTACATGTGGTAGCATAACCTCTTTAAGTCTGCTGTCTCTTTTTTTCTGCAAACTGTGGATTTTGTTGTTTTAACTCCCACACTCTGGTGGCTGTCGTGATTTCACTGATAGTTGTTTTAGAGTTTTCCTTGACAGCTCTCATAGTTTTTCTATCGACAGCTTTTCTTGGCTGACCAAATTTTTGTTTTGTAATTGGTCTTTGTTTGGTAAGTACTGTATGCCGGAGGCTTCTTTCTTCTTCACTATACTCCAAGTCATTTCTGTCTTGGTATATGCCCATTATATGTGCATCTCTGTGCATCTGGGGTTCAATTTGACTTTTTCTTTTATTTCCACTTCACAATTGCCTGCTTTTCTGAAACAGAGTGTCCTCTTTGACTTTCAGCTGTGGGCTTCACACATTGAACTCAAAGCAAGACAGAATGTTTTATGAGTGCCTAATTACCCAAATATCTGACCAACAAGAGACAGCTGTCAGCCAATTCTCGCAATCCATCCGCTCCTTCCAAATAAAGAGGTTCAGCGCTGTTTAAATGAGTCAAGTGGGTTGAAATGGATTGACATAATTATTGTTGTTTTTATTATTACTGTTTGGCAACACTTCGTGAGAAATGATCATTATTTAGAGTTCATAATGAAACCTCCCGTCTAGACTTCAGTGTCCTCAAACTTTTAAAGTGTACAGTATAATTAAATATTTGGTCACATTTTGGTCATGTACTAAGCAATTTGACTTCTTTAGTCTGCTTTTTATGGATGAAAGTGGTGAATAAGAAAGTACATACCGTGCGCTACAAACGTATACGTAATATTGTAAAATGTTAATGTGCAAAGAGTGTGTGCAAAATGTTATCTCGCGTCAGTCTACTCAACATGTTGCAGAAGTACAGGAGCTTCCTTCTCCAGAACAAAGCAATTGAAAAGAACTGGCAAAACTTGCAAGTTTCGTCTTTTGCACCTATTTTGCTCATTCGGAAAAGATCGCTCTAAAGTTACTTTTAAATGTTTGATCTGTGCTAAAGACAATATATGACATATTCACTAGACAGGACTGAAATAATCGTAGGAACTGGGCTACTCCACGCGAATGGCTTGGCACGTACAGTATCAGCTTTAATACGTCATTCCATCTAAACTTTCAAACGCAGATGTCATGCTTTAATGATAATGTTGAGAATTCAGGAGTTATTTCTGATGAAATTCAGATGTTAATCAACGGTGAGGAGAAAGGGCCTTTCCAATTTAACTACTGGAAAGCAAGCCTTTTTGGCTAAACTGCAGTCGATTCCAAGGTAACGGGAACACAAAGGCGGAGTTAGAAAAGTTTAACTAGCGTCAGGATAGAGGAGTCCCGATCGCCAGCGCCTGGATAAATAGAGAAATGAACGGAGCGCCTCTACCACTTACCTCCTACTAAGACAGAAGTGTCATTAATCAACAGGGGAAAAAAACATCAACAGTAGGGATGCGCCCTCTCGGAAACCTACACCCCACCAAATAGCATAACGTCTTGTAACGAGAAAAAATCCTTGAACATCTCTCTTCTTTACATGTGAGATGTTATTAAAATGGACAAGGCTGGAAGTTAATTTCTTTTGGTGCGAGGCTTTTAAAAATGTCAGAAACCTGCTCTGTCAGCTCGGGGTCCGTTGTAAATAGCGGTCAGCGGATCCTCCTGTTGGCTCTGAAAGGAGAATGGATCACACTGGAACAGACCCTCAAGGGATTTGACAAGGGAGATCCAGAAATCTCTCAAACTGATGAAGTGAGTACGAGGCAAAAAAACAAACTTCACCTATGAGATCCCACGCCTTTTATTTTATTTCATTTATTTTTTGGGGATTGTAAATAGTAAACATTTATGTTACTAGTTATTTTGTGTAAACATCCTCGCTTATTCGTTAAGTAAGTGACGGGAAACAGCAATATGCAATGGGAAATATAGTCTTGCAATTACTATTATCTGTGTAATTAATTTCATGCTTAAACAATTTCTCGTATGTAGTTATTTTAAACAAAGTCTGAGAAGGAATTCTAATTTTCAGAATTGTTTCATATTAAATTGAAACAGATTCCTCTACAATAGTTTAACAAATGTAAGTTACTTAGAGCAACAGAACGTCTGCTGCTTGCTTCTCATTAGTGGTTATTTCCTCCGAGCCAGACAGTGCAATTGGAAAGCTTATGTCACTTGGGCTGCTCCTGATTATTTGCTAAAGCAGTAGGTTTTTCTTCCAAAATCACACCGCTTTTTCTACGTATTTCAGGACAAATTACCTTTTGAAAAAATTAACATAGGCTCCGTCACAGACCATTACAAATGCAGAGACAATGGTGGACTTAAAGTGAAAATTTATTTTGGACTTGCAGGAGTTTGGCTTTAGCCCATTGATGATTGCCATCAAGGAGAATCGTCTCTCTATAGTGGACAGACTTCTGGAACTTGGTGTCAACCTCAGCGATCGAACAAAGGTAAGAGCGACACTAAACGCACATTGTGAATAAATGTAATATCCAAAGTAACAATATTCCTGCATGGGTAAGGCTTTGGGCAGCTCGGTGATGCAGTGGTTAGCATTGTTGCCTCACAGCGCTGGGGCCCAGGGTTCAATTCCTGAGGTGCGATTGGCATAGAGTTTGTTTGTTCTCCATGTGTTCAAGTGGGTTTCCTCCCACAGGCCGAAAAACATACCAGCAGTTGAATTGGCTTCTGGGAAGACAGGCCCTGTTGTGAATGTGTGCGTGTTTGTGTCTGTACTGTATGTGCCCTTTGAGGAACTGGCTTCCCGTCCAGGGTGTGTCCTGCCTTGTGCCTCTCGCTTGCCCGAGATAGAACTAATATTCCCATTTCCGGAACTCTCCAAAGATAGGATCCACAAATCTGCTCCTCGTTCCAGAGAAAGATGTTCTTTAAAAAAAAATACACGAAAAGATAAATTCCTAGAAGGACCCAGAAAGACAATGGTGGCTCTGCAGCGAGCTAATCTGTCTTCATTTTACTTGGCTGGAACGTGACAGGAATGCGAGGCTGACATTTCTGGAAGGAAGGTGGGGGATAGGGGCTGGGTGTTCCTCAAGGAAAAGGTCAGTAGCAGAAAAAAGAGGGAGAGACAGTCATAAAACAGCCTGGTTTTAATACTGACCTTTAAATAGAAATACTGCTATTGAGACCTCTGACTAGTAATATGCTTTTCCCTGGTGGCTATTGTGTGTGCTTGTGCCTGTGAGAAGACAGAAGAGCTGTGGTCTTCAATTCAGGGGGTTTGAAAAGGTGAGGAGTTCACTTTACAATAAACAGGAAGCAAAAGTGCTGCCTACAAAACCAAGCTTAGGGTAAAAAACATAGCTCTGACAACATAAAGATCCTTCTTTGTCTTTCTTGGATTTATGTCTGAGCTCAATGGAGACAAGTGCAGAGACTTCGAGACAACAGGTTCACACACAGTGAAGGAATGCATAATGGAAAGTCAAATTTTGCTCTAAGTAGCACATAATCTGTCTTTGTCGTTGTTGCATGATGTACAGTACATTAAACATGCTGTCCCAGTATTACAGCTCGCACATTTATATTACTAGATACCAGGCTTACACATTTAGACTATTTTCTGTATTGTATCTATTGTTTGTTAGTAGATTCTTTCAAAGCTGTAACATCTGTAAGTGTAGTCAGCATAGCAGTAAACCTAATAAGGGACATTCAACAGATCCAGCGATTGTAACAAGTTGCGTCACTCATATGGATTCCATCAAAAGCCTTTAATTCTTTTTTTATTTTGTCCTTCCCAAGTTATAAAAACATCCAATAGCAGCCATTTTTCTTGTACAGAAACCGCAAATGTACTGAATCTGACTCAGTCCTGAAGAACAGCGTGTGTAAACTACAGGAAAGGTGAATAAAACAAGGCTGAAAAGGGCTCCTTTTTGTTCTGAAGTGTGCCTTCATTTTAAAGACCAGGCATTGAGTGCCTTGCTCGTCATAGTCACACCAGCAATTTAGGCACAGTGACGCAGAGGAGAGGCAACAGAACACCTGACTTGGGGGTGATTCTCCTACAGCAATAGTCACTGTTTCAGTGAGTGCTTGTAAATGACAGGAACTGAATGTAAATGATCGGACCACCCCAGTAAGTAGTGAAATAAGTAAGGTGCGCTTCCTTTAGTTACAAAAACAAGTAGAGAACAGCACAGCAGGGTTCTTTATTAGATAAATTCTTTAAAGATATTATGGCTTGAGTGCTTCTTATGGTAAGCGACGGCCTGATTCACAAATATGATTCAGAAAATCGCACCCAGTGACTGCATCCTTCTCGCTACTATACCACATCGCTTCCAGAGTCTGCTGTGTTTATTGCAGTGCACTCTTTAAACTTGCACAAAAATACAAAAAAATGATCTGCCCGGTTTTAAGGTTTCGCTTGAGAGCCCTTAACTAATGATGTCTGAACTAGGCACTGCAGCAGTTACGTTATTGGGCAGGGAAAATGCATGCGTGTGGCTTCTAAGTGAATCCTAGAGTGCAGAGACTGAAGGTAGGGAATGTAACTATCCAAGCATAACAAAATTGGCCAAGCCACTGGCTGAGTACGTACTGTAGCTGGTTACAGTATCCTTGGTTTGCTCCACAGCACTGACCTCTGAGGCTTGCCAGACACCTGGGAGTTTGCAGTGTGTTGTCATTAGCTGAGGCATCTGTCCTCCCACTGCTGTTTTAGGTCAGTGAGAAAGAGACGTGACCATTCACGTTTGGGAGGGTGAAGTGAATAAGAGATACAACACATGAATGAGGGTATTAAGATGATTCCAGTTTAGAAGCTCTTAATTTAAAAAAGGGGGATTCGTGCTTGTTTTAAAGAGGCACATTACAAGATTTGGATTTGTACACCTGTTTAGTGATGAATCCCCCTGCATATTATTTCTGAATGGCTCCTAAAAACTGGATATATGTGCAGACATCGTGACTTTCAGACTAAAGTTGTTATGGCTCAGGGGTGTTGGCTGGGTAGAATCTGCCAGACAGAGTAACTTCTAAGAGGATTGCTGTTGCATGCGTGAAGAATCTTTCTAGTCTTTAATCTTAGTCTGATCTTTTTTAACCTTGGTTTGCACGAGATTCAATCTGAATGGTGATGATTTAAAGGAAAAGCGGGTATTTGCTTGGTTGAATCAAGACAATGCCACCCAAGTTACAATCACAGGGTTGTTTCACAATGAATGTGTAAGGCACAACAAGGCCCGTAAAACAACATACTATGAGAAATTTCCAGACACTTTTGTTCCTCGTTAAAGGTTTAAGAGATCTTCAATTTTTTTAGAAAAAACATAAATCACTCCACAGACAAGCCTGCTAATGAAGATATTGGAAGGCCTTGATGACTTCATGTACAGAATCTCCTGGTAATAGTTTATCTGACAGGTGCAATTGATCTCTCAGATCATCACATTCAATAAATCAGATTCAATCGGATAATATACTGTCACCTCCAAAGTCACCCTTGATAAAAAAGGGTGAAAAAAAGGCTGTATAAAATAAACAACATGGGTTATATGCTATATTGTAATTTTTCAACATCTGGAATATATTTTACTTCATTAATGATTTAGTGGAATCAATCAAAATTACACGTTTCTCACTTTTCACATTTATTTCCAAAACGTAAGTGCCACAATTTTAGCATTAGATCAGTTTTTCTGAATTAATACAAGATCTTCTTTTTAAAGACGTGGACTCTCAAGGTAGAGAAGTGTCTCGATAACAGAAAAAAAGCATCAAATGAATTATGGGATTCACAGCAATGAAGGATTTCATCTACTTTGGATTCTGATAAAATACTGCATCTCCTGAAGCCACATAAGAACAAAGTTTATACTGTGTAAGAGTTACACGGGTTATATTTTCAACAGGAAAGTTACTGCACTTTTCTCTGCTTCCTAATGGGACTGGACTTGAATAACTTATGGGTGGTAAGGCATTACATACACTGCTTTCTTGCAAAGCACTTAGCTATTCATTAGTACAAGACAACAATGTAAATGCTGTTAATAAGGAAGGGATTAAGACTAACACACTGTGTTCAGTTTTAACAAAGTTCCTGAAGGTGATGTTTGATTTACCTCCCAGGAAGGATGCCTGGTCTGTCATGGAAATGTAGCTACTCTTGTTGCATGTTCCTGAACAACAGAGCCTAGGACAGAAGAAATACTGACACTGATGGAAAAATCGAAATATTTGCAAAATAAGCATTGCTATTTATAGCTCAATATCCCGTATAAATATTACCAATCATGTTGCTCATCTCGTACGATGGAGATTTTTTTTTTTATGAAGCTGGGGACTTCATTTATCTTTTCCCCCCATCTGAGTTAAAGTGAAGCAACCAACACACCCACCCAAAAAAACAGTAGCTGGATAATGAACATTCATCTCAATCTCTTCCGTGCATTAGTACCTTAAATAGCTCCTTGTGCAAAACGTAATAAATACAAATAAACGTACCTTCATGGGCATCACAAATGCTACACTTACAAACTGCTGTATCTAAGGTGCAGTTGTAAAACTGTGAATTCTTCATATGTGGAATTATTTCCAGGAGAGGTTTAATAGCCTCCAGGTTATGAATTCTTGCTGGAAGGACAATAGAAGAACAAAGCAGTGTTTAACCTTCAACATGTCATAGAAGTTAACAAGTTTTCAGTAGTCCCCAGTAATAACAATAATCCATTTGAAGCTAAAGTAACGAAAGATGTGAATTTTTTCCTGTTTATGAACAATTTTGATGGTCTATTTAATATAAAGCAGCTTTTTTGTTTTTAGAATGTTTTATGGTGAGGATGGTATTTGTTGTGAGAAATAAGATGTCATATCTAGTTTTTTGTTTGTTTTCCCTACTAAAACGCAAGATGAAAATCAGTTTAATCATGCTGTTGCTCTTTAGTGACTAGCTTGTGCTGTGTGGGCATGGAGACTCTGTGCTTCACCCTGGACTGGGAATCTGTGCCCAGCCTGTGCTGCCCCCTGATATGGATGAGTCAAGGGGTGAATCGGGGACCCAGGAGACACGTTTGAACATCCCCTGTCTGACCACGGCAAAACACAGATTTTGGTGAAAAGAAAGGGCTAATAGGCTTAGTGTTGGCTTAATTGTCTTTCGAGAATGCAGGAGTATAATTGTACAGGCATGGATATTCTTTGCTAAAAGTGGGTCTTTTGCAGCCTGGATGTACTGTACAGTAACATACATCTCATTATTACTCCAGAACCCTGAAGTCCTGGTTTGTTTAAAGAGCATTATGCATGCAATTAGGCATAATATCTTGTGTCATATACACCGAGTGGCCAGTTTATTAGGTACACTTGCCCCTTCACATGTAATTGACTGACAGCATCATATGTACAGACAATGGTATTTAACGCAAGTAATCAGGCACCTACAGGCACCTACAGATAATGTGTGTGTACATTTCAGAAGAGAATGGGCAAGACAAAAGATGCTTTGAACATGCTGACGAGAGTGTATCAGGAATAGCAACCCTGCTGGGGTTTTCATGCACAAAAGTGTTGTAGGTGTTCTGAGAATGGACCACTACCAAATAACATCCAGTCAATGGTGGTCCTGATGTCGTAAACATAGATGAATGGGTACAATTAGTCAGTAACAACTGAGAGCAACAGTGGTGCTGAAACATACTATCAGGCATATCAGAAAGCACACTTTGTCGTACCTTGTCACGGATGGAGACTGACAGCTGATGACACAACTGAGTTCAACTCCTACCAGCAAAAAACAAGAAGGAGTGGTTGCAGTGGACTAAGGAACATAAAGACAGGACACTGGAGGATTAGAAAAACATCGTCTGGTCTGAAGATTCCTGGTTCCTGCTGTTTCATGCTGATGGGTGGACAAGGATATGGTGATAACCGCATGAGTTTATACTGTAGATCCTTCCTGCTGGGTGTCAGCAGTCAACAATGCAGGCTGGTGGTAGTGGTGTGATGGTGTTGAGGTGTGTTTTCATGGTTTTCAAGTAGAACATTGTGTGAATGCCAGAGGATATCTGAACTTTGCCAGTCAGGTGCATACCTTCATGGCAGCAGCATACCGGACTATGAATGGGCTTTTTCAGCAGGATGATGCTCCGTGCCACAAGGCTAAGATTGTCCAGGAATGGTTCCACGAACATGACAGCGAAATCAGTTTAGTTCAGTGGCCTCTCCATTCACCAAATCACAATTGAACATCTGTGGTATGAAACAAGCTATCCAGAGTAAAGATCCACCACCAGCTCATTCACAACAACTATGGGACACACTGGAGTTGACAAGGGCCCAATATGCCTGAGCCATACCTTCGACACCTCGTTGAGTTCATGCTCAGATGGATGCACGCTGTTTCGAGGGCAAACAGGGGACCCACTCGCTATTAGGTAGATGTACCTAGTAAATTGGCCTTTCAGTGTATTTGTATCTTTAAACTTATTATTCCTTAACCTACATAGATTATTGTGAATTCTTTTGATGATTATCATCAGTGCACATTACTTCGAGACCTGCACTCTACGTATGGTAGCTGTGGCGCAAAGTGAACATGATTCTTGAATCTATTAACATAATATTTGTCATTCTTAAACAGATGTGATCACTGATTGCTTTGTGTCATGCACCCCCTAGCTGTTTTACTGGATTTTAATCGAATGAGCACCTGTAGGAAGATCACTTGTACATTCACACAGTACGTCAACTTCAAACTCTACCAGATAATATTGCTGATTGGTAGTCACTGAATAAAGGAACATTCCTGTGGTCTATGAGAAGCATTTCTACCATTCTGCAGTAAGTAATGCTGATTCATGGTAACAGTGGGCAGATTGATCACATATTATTGATGTTGCTTCCAGACTTCAATATATCATATGGTCCATATCATGCATAACTTTTACATTTTCGTGTTGTTATACTGTATGTACATGCTTATCTATAGATAGTAAAATGATATCACAGACAAAACTTAAGTTCTAGATTAACATTATCCCCTCTAAAGTTGAATCTGTTTAGAATTTTGAATTAGAATGTGTTTTTTTTTTCAATAAATACAACTGTGCAATATAAAATACAGCAGATCAGTGTCTCACCTGGAGCATAAATAATATTACTCACATTTTAAATGATGAGCAGATAGGTTTGTTGATTGTTTGAGTATAATTCTTCCTTAAGACAAGAAACTACTGAGCTTGGGCCATGTGATTTCACAAAAATGACAGGTGTTCAGTGCTTAAAATTTGAATTACAGATAAGAAAATTGAGTTGAATATAGTAGGTACAGTATTGGTACAGTAGGTATCTTCATGGGTGGCATGGTGGCACTGTGGTTAGCATTCATGTAGGTTGTCTCTGGGTGCTCCGGTTTCCTCACGCGGTCCAAAAAACAAACTGGTACATGAATTGGCTCCTGGGAAAACTCTAGGTGTGAATGTGTGTGTGTGTTTGTGTTGGTGTGTCTGAACTGCGATGAATTGTTCCTGTACAAGGCTTATCGCCCCCTCTGCCTGTTGCTTGCTGGTACAGGCTCCGGCTCCACTGTGACCCTAAATTTGATTTAAGCAGTTAGAAAATGGATGGATGGTGGCATCTATATAAATACCCATTCAGGAGAATGACAAAAAATACGCTTCCACAATCAGTCAGCCTGTCCAGAGAAACCATGAAATCAGTCTTTGATTGACAGGTCTTGTTCTGGAAGGCGGAGGGTCACCACACCAGTGCAGTAGCTACAGCATAAGGAATTCCAGGGAGAAATCCCATGTGCATCGGAAATTAAGACAATGTGCATGCTTGGTGGTCTTTCAAGGGTAACGTTTTGACAGGTGAGAAATAAAATCACTCACTTCTACAGGCTCAAGAACGGCTAAGTGGTGGTTTGTATTATTCATCAATGAATACACTCCTGCCCTTGACAGATCTGGCAGAAGGCATTGTGTCTGGTGACAGCTTGGAAATTTATCCTGATTGTTACTTTGCACAAGATAAGAAATATGGCGGTAGATGTGTGATGATATACAGAGGATGATATAGACAAAATATTTCCTTAGGCACCCTACTGCTCAGCCATATATGTACCCCCCTCCCTCCTTTGGGGTAACAGTTTTATGACTCCAAGCCAAACACCTGTTGTGTCTGTTTTCCTCACACTATCAATGTGAGATGATAGTGTGAGGATTACAATGGCACAACTTCACAAAAACAGTGTTGAGGTCTTGCCATGCTCACGGGTACGTCTAGCTCAGAGACAGAGTCAAAGACAGAGACCCACTTCTTGGATCAGTGCTGTCCAGGTTCAAAAGCCATGATTTCGCCTCCTGCACCAGGGGCAGTACCTCAACCTGTTGCACCAGATTTTTGTTTTCAATAAAACAGGTGGTTCCAACTCGCCAATCTCCTCAAAAGGAAACAACAACTAGAGGATCTAGAATGTACATTTGACCGACTATATGCTTATTTTACAGCTTATATTAATTCCAACGGTGGCCACACACAGTACTAGCCTGTGCGTGTCACTTTTGAACAATCATGTTGATTAACCTTCTTGGTAGGTAATGTTAATCAGTCTGACATTTCTTGTGCCGTGTCTGTTCAATGTAATATCAGTGTACTTTCTACAACAAAATAATTTTTAGAAACTTGCAAGAAGTACTTCTGTTAATTTATTGCAGTTATAAGTAATGCATTTCTTTGCTGCTCACTATGTAGTATGGTTGTACAGTATAAGTACACGTTTACCATGTGATACACTTCTTTTACGCAAACTTTACAATTCCTGTAGACTTTGATAAAGCCAGCAGAAATAATAGAAAAATAGATGGCGGTGTCATTGTGGGGGCAGCAAGTGACTATTGCGATTACAGAAATTGTAAATCACTAGCATTGATCTCTGTAAATTGGAGACGTAGATTTATAGAAGGTGTTGACAAACCTTAATTGTAGTGGGAACACAATGCTACTTGGACAATAAATCCATTATTATAGTAAAAGTCCAGACAATTATTATATTTACTGATGGAATACCAGCCTTGCACAAAGACAGCTCTAATTTTAGGCTTTCTGCTGGGTTTTATTGATCTTGGCAGGGGCTCAAATCCATCACCAAGTGAGCTTCTAGTAGTAATTTTGTTGTCGGTTCCTCTCCTGCTTGCTCTCCATCTCTCTCTTCCCTTCTCATTAATGTGATCAAACATTGTGATTGTGTTCCCAGGATGGCAGGACAGCCTTGCATGTGGCAGCAGCTCATTCCAAAGATGAAATCGTTAAGCTGCTGGTGAAGAAAACTGATCCCAATGTGCCAGGAGGGGTAGGAGGTTTTTTTTTCTTAATAAACTTCATTCATTTCCCCCATTCGCTTTTTAACTTCTCCAGGGACAAGACAGGATCCCAAAAAAGATCTAGAGTCTAGTCAAATCAACCAAGTTTTTTATTCCATCACCTGCTTTTTCCTGGCCCTGACAACACAAAGCCTAGTTCATCACAGGTCACACAGATGCGCACAGGGATATTCTGTATTTCCTCCATGTAGGTGAGGAGGAAACCAGCACACCCACAGAAACCCATGAACATGGGAAGAACATACACATTCTACATGGAAGACACCCCTTTCCTGCATCAGGAACCCAGGAGCTATGAAAGCTGTTGCACTAACTGCCCCATCAGGCAAACATACAGTATATTTCCCACAGTATGTCAGTATAACTAAGGGCGGTAGGGTTGTATTGTTTAATTTATGCATCATTTAAATATTTGGACTTTTCCACTAGGGAATAAAAGCAAGAGTATGTGGTGTTTTTGGAATTCACTAGGGGGACAAACTCCGCGTGTAGCTAGCCAGAATGATGTGGAGCGTCTGCAGAACAGTCTGAAAGGTCTCCTCACAGTCTGTGGTGTACGCTGGGCTTCTGCTCCTGTTTGCAGATGTACAGCACGCCAAATCCAAGAGCTGGGGGGGAAGGAGCTCAACGGGTCTCCTCAGTTGAAATTGTGTTCCCTTCTGTTCTTCCACACCGACAGGACACTTTTGTTCTGGAGACCAAAATGTTCCCTTTGAAAAGACTAAACATTTGGGTTTTTGTTCACATGTTTCTGCTGATTATATACCTAAATTATTTTCACACATATCCACTTGCTGAGATAAACCCTAGGCCCCCCATGGCCTTGAAATAGATGAAACTGTTAGAAAATGGATATCCTGTATACAGTATATATGCATACCACATATACCGTATACGCATAGCAGAACATTCACTTTTGTTTTTTTGCCACACATATGTATGGCACATGAGTAAGCATTGAGCAAGCATTGCTACAGGAGCTTCTTTAGTCAGGAAACTGAACACAGCCCTGTTTACTAAGCTTTGACCCAGTGAAATCATCTTCCATGCTTTTGCATACAAGCCTCTTGTGATGGTCTTTATGACCCCATGAAATCATCTCTCATGAAATCTCTCTCATACGTACAGTTTACAGCAACTTGTTAAATCACCCAAAAGTTTGGGGATTGACTTAGAATACCATTTAGATTTTAGGTTTTACCTTTGAAGCACTGGCATAGGTTCAGATGCACTGAGGCAAGGAATTAATGCTCAGTGCTCTTTTATTGAAGGTTTTGTGCTTGTTTCTTAACCCTATGGTTGGAAACTCGCACACAAGGAATATAAAACACATCCTCACTCATTCTCCTAGTACTAACTGTGGTCTTTATTTCCTCACTACCCAATTTTGTACCCCAGGGGGTGTCTGTAGCACTGCTCCAAGGAACCTTATATGACAGGGTGAACTATTTCTAAATAATACACACACTGTAGAACAGCAGTGAACAAAACAACAGGATCACATTTTTACAGGTAACCAGTGTTCAAATAATACCTATATGCAAAGATATTTGTATTATAATTTATTATCTTTATTATCCAGTCCTAGATTTCCCCTGTGTGGTGTGTTGCCTTTATTGCGTGTGCATAGTGATTAAAAATGATTTAATTTGCAGTTTTACCATTTTGCTCAGAAAAGAATATTCTTAGGCTGCTACAGTATATTGTGTTTTAAGAGCACCTGCTTAGTTCAGTTGAAAGTTTCAGACTCCACCCTCCAAGGCCATAGCTGTGTCAATCTCTGTAGCCAGGAATCTGTCTGCTTCGTCAGTGTTAAGGAAAGGAGCTGTTACCCCCAGGAGGTCTGCTTTGAAAGCCCTTCAGAAACACACTGTTGCCTACAGGATTCAAAAGAGAGTGAGAGCAACAGAAAATCCACTCATACAGTTCTTCCACGTAGGAGGAGCCTCACGGAGACTCACTGAAAGGGCCAGAGAAGAGGGCTCCCCACGTCGTAGGGCCGACTGCATGAACTGGGGATAAACAGTGTATTCAGATGCGCTGCGTAGTGCCAGATCGTGGCCTAAGGCTCTGGCAAGTTTAAACCCCAGCTCTGTCCGGGAGACAAGGGCTTGACCGCTGCTTGGAGCGTTTAGCCTCTGAGTGACAACCGAGGGGGGGGGAATGGCGGGAAGTTTGCCGCCACAGCGGTGAGGCCTGTAACTAAGGTTCAGTGAGGGGGGGAGGGAGAGTGCATAAGACCCCCCTCCCCCCTAATGCTGAGGCTGAGCCTTTACTGCTGGAGTGCTCTCCACTGCTGTCTTATAATGAGCAGCCCTGGCATATACAGTACTGCATACAGCTCAAGGGCACACACGTATTGAGGCGGCTGGTGCAAGTGTAGTACCGCTTGCTCATTAAATATTGCACTTGGATATCAGGTGGTGAGCGTTTGTTTCAAGACATACCCAGGTATTTAGTGAGAATGCTGTGTCTATGTTGAAATGGGGTATAACAGTGTTTATTCACTACAGATTCATTGCCAAGTATGAATGCATATGGTGGATAAAGTGTGGCAAGGGGAAAATGCTTTAATCACCCAATCTTCCCCCTGGCACAGCCTTCTTGCTTAATACCTTAGTATTTTCTGGGTTTTTGTTTTATTTTAAGGCCCATGTGAAACATTTAATAAACAAACCATATTACCAACCACCTAGAGAAGTATCCCTTGTTAGATACAGGATATGTGCACGGCTATGCAAAACTCTTAGACAGTTTTCATTGATCTACTCCTTCCACTCAGTGTTTTCCACATTTATGAAGAAACAATTCTGGAGATCCGCTGCTGAAGTTGTATCTGTTGTTTTAAGATAAAATGAATCCTGAGAGATTAGCGTTTTATCGCACTTTTGATGGTTACGTGAAGAACAGATTGTTAATGGGGATGACCACCTGACAAGGAGTCAGTTAGTTTTGTCGGTAAATGTGATGGAGTAGCTCCTGCAATGCTTTGTAACAGCTGCTGATGTATAATTTACCCTGAATTGTGGCAGACGTGCCTGTGGGAACTCAGTCCACCATACTGCACAGCCAGTCCAACACTGCTAGCCTGTCACCTTACCGTTTCACGTTTTTAGCAGTCGGCCGCCACTCATATATTCTTTCAGACCCCGTTCCAAGAACCTACTGTAGCTCTTACCCATTGGTCCTCTATGGGGGAAGACTGTGCAGACTTCCCTCTGCCTTCAAGTCTTCCCTGTTGCAAATATCTGGGCCCTGTGTTTGACAGTTAATTTCACCAAGAACACGGGTGTCATTGGGAAGAAATCCCAGCGGTGCATGTATTTTTAACTCTTTCTTTTATCTGTTGGTTCACTTTACTCAGTCAAAGAAACAAAACATGCCTTCAAAATGTTGTAAACCTCAGCTCCAGACTGCCTGACACAGCTGTATTCCCAGCAGATCCTTAGGAAGGCCTATTCCATCACTGAAGACCCATCTCACTCCTTCATCAGTCTTTTAAACTTTTGTCTTCAGGAAGACGGTTTCACTATCCACAGTACAAGACAAACGTGACTGTAAAGAAGTCTTATCAACATGATGTCTGTTAGACAGAGCCCCCCAACAAATGTACATGTGCTAATACCTTCCTAAATACTACACACTGTTACTGTTTGCTGTTATATCTATGTATATGTTTTTCTTAGCAATGTTTTTCTTTGTTTTGCCTTTGCTTTTGTTGCACCGCTTGTTGCTGAAATTGCCCCCCTGGGGATGAATAAAGTATTTTGAATTGAATTGAGTTCCCAAGTCTCTTCTCACACACACGACTCTTGACTCACACTACTCTTCTTCCACACCATCATTCACTAGTCACACTCTCTTCCACGAATCGCCAGGCACTTTTATCTTGACTGACTCCCTCTCAACCTCTTCTCTGTCCAGTTCTTCACCATATCTCTCCTTCCTTCATGAATCACCAGGCTTTAGGGCATCCACATGCATTCTGATTTGCTCCGTGGCACCCAGCTTTTCGTTTACTCTTCACTAAGTCTTCACTCATACTCACTTCACTCCTTTCTCAAAGATATGCAATCACTCCTCACCAAGACTATTCACTACCGCTCTTCACGGTGGAGCCTATTGGCCGGGGTGCCTGTCCATAACAAACATATGAATCGCTAACAGAGCAAAGTCATCCAGACTCTACTCTGTCTCAGCTCTGGAGAGGAAGATACACAGCTTCCATGACACAACCCTTCAGTATAACCTCGACAATATCTTCTGGCCCAGTGGGAAAGTCGCCATCTTGGCTCAAAACCCAGGGCCAAGGGTTTAAGCTTGAGCCAAGATGGAAACCTGTTGATTGAGAAAAGCTATAGAAGCTCTGAAGTTCTCACCCTCTCCCGTTCCAAGCGCGAGCCTAAACACAGAGCCCCCTCCCCTCCGCCCAGCTGCTACAGATTCATTTTTAACATCTTTGCCTCATTCTGCAGCTTTTCCTACTTAAGAGGTATCCGTCTTGGCTCACGCCCACACCATTGACCTTGAGTTTTGAGCCAAGGTGGTGATTTTCTCACAGTGCTGCCTTTTGTTACAACACAGGGCCCTTTCTTTTATGTATTTTCCTTGTACTGTATGTGCTCACTAATATTTTAATCTTTACAATGGTTCTGTTTCTCTGCATCGCATTGAATAAATAACATACAGTACTGAAGTTGTCATTTTTGCCAATGAATTAAATGACGCGTGTAGTGGTTTTGCAAACATTTCTCAACATTAATGTTGATTTCTAAGCATTTCTGTAACCCAACTTTACCTTGTGTCCACTTTTGTTTTTTTCAGCCCAAGGACCAGTTGCCGCTGCACTATGCTGCCTCACGGCCCACAGGTGCCCAGAATGTTATTCAAACATTGCTCAGGTTTTCCAGCAAAGATGCTCGCATGGTGCAGGATAAGGTACAGAGTTCAAATATTCCTACTGGTTCCTCCTTATTTCCCTTAGTTATCTGTTTTAAATCATGTTATATTTACAGTGTATACACTCTGATGCAATTTGCCAACTGAGTCTTTTACTTACAGAGGTTTTAAAGTCACAGTGGGATGACTTTTGTACTACAAAGATAACCATTTCTTGTTTTTACACATCCACCTTGTCGCCCAACAACTATAAATGAATCAATCTCATCAGCCCCTTAGATTATGTTAATAATGCATTTAGAATGCAGTGCTGTTTCTTCCTCGGTGTTTACTACAGTATCATCATGCATATGCTGTACGCCTACTTCAATTCTTTCTAGGATGGCTGCATTCCAGTGTTTTTAGCTGTCGAAGCTGGGAATATTGGAGTTGTGAAGGAGCTTCTCGGCGCAACGCCAGAGCCACAGCTCAGAGCTCAGAGGAAGGTAAAAGTGGGACTGAGTCTGTGAAAGGCTTTGTTCCTTTAATCTTCACATCTTGGACGCTGTACAGTAGATTTGTCTTTGTATGATGTGCAGATTAAGTGAGCCGAAGTAGATTCACTAGATGTTTTAAGTTCTTGGGAATTTAGTGACTTTTCATGGTCAGATGTTCTTGTTTCAGAAGTGTTTTGTTTGTTGTTAAGAGCCTCGTCCATTTCACAGGAAGATGATGAAACTGCTAACGGTATTAATCAAGTATGCCTTCTGGTGTACAGAAGACGTAATATTTTTTGAAGACTGAAATAGAACATCAGCGTACGGTGTTAAAATGTAAAAAGTTTCTAATTTCTAAGTGAGATGCATAGTGCAGGGCAGCATGGTGGTCCAGTGGCTAGCATTACTGCCCTGCAGTGCTGGGGCCCTGGGTTCAAGTCCAGACCTGGGCTGCTATTATCATTATTATTATTGTTGTTTACACTTACAGTATATAGCGCTTTTCTGGACACTCCACTCAAAGCGCTTTACAGGAAATGGGGACTCCCCTCCACCACCACCAATGTGCAGCCCCACCTGGATGATGCGACGGCGACAATAGTGCGCCAGAACACTCACCACACATCAGCTATCAGTGGGGAGGAGAGCAGAGTAATGGAGCCAATTCATAGATGTGGATTATTAGGAGGCCATGATTGGTGAGGGCCAACGTGGAATTTGACCAGGATGCCGGGGTTATACCCCAACTCTTTTCAAGAAACACCCTGGGATTTTAATGGCCACAGAGAGTCAGGACCTCGGTTTTACGTCTCATCTGAAGGACGGCGCCTGTTTATAGTATAGTGCCCCCGTCACTACACTGGGGCATTAGGACCCACGTGGGTCATGGCTATGTGTATGAAATCTGTATGTTCTCCCCATGTTCACCTGGGTTTCCTCCTAGGGCTCTGCTTTCCTCCCACGGTCCGGAAACATACTGGTAGTTTAATTGGCTTCCAGGAGAAAAAGCCTTGGTATGAGTGTGAGCATGTCTTTGTCTGTGTGTGCCCTGTGATGGACTGGCCTTTGCTTGCTAGGAAAGGCATCAGTTCCCCTGTGACCCTGAATTGAAGGAAGCAGTTAGAAAATGAAAGAATGTGTAGTACAGTTTTTAAAACCCTCATATACAAGTATTAATCGGAGACAAAAGCTACCATATTTCCGACTTAAACAAAATGTACTACTGTATTTCGAATTCTGATTTGTACCTTTTTGCAAGGCTTGAGGTATTAAGTCATAACTTATTGGCAGAAAAATTACACTTGCGTTTAGATTGTCTCCATGTCCCAAGCGTTTGTTCTGTGTTATGAAGCTAAATTATTCAGTCTGTAATTTTTCCAGCAGCTGTTATTAAATGATTCTGTGGTTCAAAAATGAGTTATATGAAAATGGGAAAAAAACCTTTAGATAACAGCATTTACAAGATGCAGTTTGATTGTGTGAGTCACCATAGTGTTTAGTTTTTACTGCACAGCAAGATTTATTAAATACAGCACAATCATCTATTGCAGGTGGGTGTTTAGATCAGTTATAGTACCAAATGTGCCTAGATGTTTAATCTGCTTCTTTTGAGCAGTGCCAATTTTTATGGTTTTTCAACTTTACTGAACAACCGATTTACTTTAAAGGTTTTATAAATGGTCTTCACTTCGATTTAAATCTATGGAGGACCACCTCCATTCTTCAGGTGATTGTACCAGACATGAAATTCAACTGAATCCTTCTTCAAGGGATTCCTTTCCCATTTTCCATGGTGCCTGGCAAGGTGAGCCGGGGTCTAGTGTGAGAAGGTTAAATAAGACCTTTGGAAGTTAAGTTGATATCATAAAACACAGCAAAATGAGAAATAAATGACACAAAGCAACAAGGCGCCGCTCATACAAAAGTAAGAGGTTAGTGCATCTGCATTAAGTTATGTTGTGATTTGTCTTGCAATTGCAAACTGGCCCAACTTGTAATTAAATCTTATTTAATTTAATGTTACAGGGTAATGGCGATGCTGCTCTGCATATCTGCTGCAGGAGGAAAGACATAGAAATGGCAAAGTTTCTCGTGGAATTTGGGGCCAGTGTGGACTTTCAAAATGTGAGTGTCGCTTCATTTTCAGTGGCACAGTTTCAACCAAATGTGACGGAAATACACCAATAAAGAAAATTACTGCAGCTATGAAGAAGCAAATCTGCGGTGCTATTGGATATCAGAAACTGTAAAAATGGTAAAAGAATGCCCATATGTCTATAAGTACACAATGGCCACATTTGTGCAGAATAATGAATGGATTCTAAGAATTTCCTTTGAGACACCACAAGGGCATTTCCTCAGTGGTTTCTGAATCTTTTCAAATGTTTGTCCAGCTGGAGTGTCGCCCGGTGCAGTGCTCTTTACGAGATGAGGCGATAGCTTATTTTTGAGTCATTATTGTGGAGATAATCGTCTCCGACTGATTCTTGTGGCTTTCATTGCCTGACGTTAGGACGAAGGACAGACACCTCTCCATGTTGCTGCCTGGGAAGGAGATGAGCTCATGCTGAAATACTTCTACCAATGCAAAGCCAACCCCAACATTGTTGACAAGGTACATAGAGAATAGGAGGTATGGTAATGATGTGGAAGAAAAAGAGATGGAGCTGTTGGAGCTGATGGCTTATTCACTGCTTTGTCACAGATGGACAGATCCCCTTTGCATATTGCAGCAGAACGAGGCCACACCAATGCAGTGGAAGTCCTGACAGAGAAATTCAGGTCTGATGTTTTGGCCAGGACAAAGGTACATTTTCAAATCCTTAATTGTTACACATGGCATTTACCTTTCTATATTTTGTTTGGAACAGGAAGTTTGCCATCCAGTTTTCAGATCCTTAAAAGCCTTAATTGAATGTCTTAACCACATTATCAACCAAACTTACCTTGGTCGTCCTCAAAGTACTCAACATTCTGCATTTTAGTGCACTGGACCAAAGCATTTCCATCTCTGTGCTACATTCCCCTGATCGACGAAGGTTGCTATGGTTAAGACAAAATAGGCCTTATTGGGACACTTCTCTGTAAGTCTTCATGACCAGACAAAGTCTTGTCTTGTCTACTTACCATACGTCCTGTAACAGACTGGGAACTTTGCACACAAATTCCTGACTACAACAATGAGTAGCCACATCACATAGCTTTTCTTTCCCACAGGATGGCAGTACTCTCATGCACATTGCTTCTCAATGCGGCCACCCAGAAACTGCACTGGCATTCCTGAAAAAAGGAGTTCCTCTTCACATGCCAAACAAAGTAAGTTGTGAACAGCAGTTCAAAAAAGTGAATCAATGCTGAAAACTTCATAGGCTATCACTGTCTATATATAAATTATACTACTGGTTTACCTGAGCATGCTCTGGGACACATTTGTGTCAAAGACCCTCAGTTAAAATCCATAATTCTACCTTGTTTTGAGGATAAAGCAGTCATTAAGTCACCAATATGGAGAAAGACCAAATGATTTGAGGCATTACTTTTTAAAAGAGTCCCCTGGTGATTTAACAAGGTCTTTTTTTTTCTGTAGCTGAAGAGTTAGTTTTCTCCTGAAACAGAACCCCAATTACTGCCCATTTAAGCAAATGTGTCATCCAGTCCATGATGAAACTGTGTAACCAGCGTTGAGAGTTCAGAATTGTAGATGCTGTAACAGAGCAGAGGAATCTGCTTTACCTCAGGGGGTTCTACCTCTGGTCAGACTGCCAAGGGCAGCGAATACAAACACTGCTAAGAATGTAATTAGTGTGCATTCTGCTGGGATTTGTGACGGAAATTGGTGCCACCTGCAGGTGAGCTGATTACCGACTCTATAAAAGAGAACTAAAGAAGATGGAGGTTATCGACTCCTTCGGGGATAGGTCGGCAACGTCTCGAGCAAGACAAACATGGAGCTTATTCAGAGAGACGAAACAGTGAAATTTGTTATGACCTGGGAAAACTAACACCGCTGGTTGCTGTGTTAGGGAATTGTGAAATCGTAGGTTTGATTTTTCGGTCCCTGGCCAAATAGGATCTACAAGTGGAAACATCAAATGATTTAGAACGGGAAAGTGTAACGACTAAGGTTAAGGACCAAACTAGAGTCGGAAGGAATTAAACACCAAGGCTAGGCCTGTAACGAACAGTTCTTTCTGGACCCTATGCGGACGACACAGTCCGACGGAGTGGGGAAACACTAGGGAAACGTCATGCAGGAAAACGGGGCTGAAGACAAGGGGGCGTGTCCAAGGTGCGCTGGTGCACGGGGGAGGTGTGGCCGAAGCGAACAATCTGAGAGAGTAGTCCTTAGGGAAAATCCAAAACGCAAGGGTAAGTCCAAAACCAGGAGATCCATCAGAAGAAGGAATTAAAAACACGAAGGCCGGGTCGGAACCGGCGGAGAGGGAACAAACAGGAACGGGGACCGAGGTTAAAACCTTAACGGGACCAGGCGCTTCCAGGTCCCAGACTCGAACGATATGGAAATCAGATGCAGAGCCCGGATGAGCGTCAGCGCCTGGCTTTTAAGGTGGGCAGGGAATGGGAAACAGGTGCAGAGAATGAAGTCTTAAGTGAAAGGGCTGGAGCACCCTTAAGGAGGGGGAACTAATATCGTGACAAGGCCGTCCTTAGCTGATTAACTACTTTCACTACTTAGAGAGAATAGGGGTACAGTATAAGTACATGGGTCCTCCATACCAAAGCGGGACGAACACGCTCTCGATGCTGGGGCACTCCCTGGCCCAGCCAGCTGTTGTGTGCTCTCCCAGGCCGGAGCAGTGTGCCTCCACGCAGCCGCGAAGAGCGGCCACAGCGCGGTGGTGAAGGCGCTGCTGCAGAAAGGAGCCCACGTGGACGCCACCACCAAGGACAACTACACCGCGCTCCACGTCGCGGTGCAGAGCTGCAAGCCCCTGGTGGTGCAGATGCTGCTGGGCTTCGGGGCCCGAGTCCAGCTCAAGGGCGGGAAGGTAGGATATCGATCAAACCCTTCCCTTAGGCCACCGGCCATGACATTGAAACAGAACGGCATTGTGGTGTTTTTTACCGTATGTTAATGACAAGGTTCATATTTCTTATTTGTTTAATATACTGTAGGGGCTATTTATTTCATTCTAGGTTTACTGTTGGCTCGATCCACATTGTTCCAAGACTATGCATCTTTCCTTATAAATATTTTTTGTGGAACATAATGAACTTGTGGGTCAGGGTTTTCATAAGGTGTATATATGGAGGTTTAATACATATTTATTATCAATTACTATCAGGTGAGATGTTTACAATGTTAATGAGGCATCCCTAGATATACAGTACTTATGAGACCAGGGTGCTGAGTCAGTATTAATCAACTGTGTATCTGTACATATTGTACGAACATTCATGGCATTAATGTTATTTCTTCCACATTCACTGACATGATTAGCAATGGGGACATGGTGGCGCACTGGTTAGCATTGTTGCCTCGCCGTGCTGGGGCCCGGATTTCATTACTAAGGCTGCTCTCTGCGTGGAGTTTGTATTTTCTCCGTGTGTTCGCATGGGTTACCTCCAGGTGCTCCGGTTTCCTCCCGCTGTCCAAAGACAAACTATTATATTAATTGGCTTCTTGGAAAACTGGCCTTGTTGTGTGTTGTGTTGGTCTGGGAGTGAGAATTTGTGTGCCCTGTGATGGGCTGGCAACCCATGCAGTGTGTATCCTGTCTTGTGCAACTGCTTGCCAAGACAGGCTCTAACTCCCCCATGACCCTGTATTGGATGAAACAGAAAATGGATGGATGATAATGAATGGTATATGTTATTTATAGTAATGAGTTATCTAATGAGTTATCATGTGGCTCCGACTACAGGCCCAGGAGACTCCTCTGCACATTGCTGCCAGAGTGAAAGAGGGAGAGAAAGTGGCAGAGATGCTGCTGAAGAGCGGAGCAGATGTCAATGCGGAGCAGGAGGTCAGAGAGTTCTGGATCATTTTGTATTTCCTTTTTTTTCACGGGAAGAGAGAATATGAGAGTTTATTTCCATAGAAAAAAAAATACAGAGAGGGGAGAGCATGTGTATCGATTTCCAATTTATAATACAGGATATAGAGAATTGGGAGGAGAAATAAAAAGAAAACAGAAACATGAACTGCCCAAAACTGACCTGCAAGAAATTCTTGAAGCCCCTTCAAGACTTGGACCGTCACCTAACTCTGACTTGCCAGTGTCAACATCATAGCAATTCACAAACGTTAACTAAGAGGCCCTAATTATGAGTTTTGGATGTGTCATTTTAATTCTACACATCTCTCCTTTGGGGCAGCTGCCCATATGGACAACATTTTGGTAAGAAGTATCAGGGAACCGATAGGTAGAATAGGAGGATCCTTATGTGTAACCATGAATCCTTCAGAATGTGGAGTAGCACAGGGACACTATCCAAAACACGTAATCCAGGGGCTTGGTCAATTGGAGAAGCAATAAGTCCGGTAACCAGGGAAATCCGAGAAAGACAATCTGAAAAATGAAATCCAAAGGGCGTGGTCGAAAAAGGCAGAAGCAAAGATTAGGAACCGGGAGATCAGTCGAAAAGGAAACGCGCACAAGAGAATTCTACAGGAGGCTTCTCAATAGTGAGCATGGGTTCGTGCGTGAGGGAACTTTAAATACTGAAGGGAGAGGGATGTGGTTGGATAATTGGTCTGGGAGTGAGAATTTGTGGAATCTGGTACCTGTGAGAATGTGATTTCAGTTTCAGAATGTGGGTTCAGTTAGGAATGATATTGTGAAACAGTGGGTTTGGGAATGTAACAGCATTTGCGAGGGAGAGTGGGGGGTGTGACAAGTACTTTGCCGTTACCGACGAAGACCTTGCTGTGGCCCTTTTTACCAGAATGGGGAAACAGCCATGCATATAGCCGCTCGCCATGGCAACCTGAAGATGATGCAGGCCCTGATCGAGGAAGGGGGGGATGTGACCTCGAAGTCTAAGGTAGATTTCTGAAGCGGTTTGTGTGGGACCCTGCATTGGCTTGTTTGGGCCGAAACATTTTGTTTCTCTGTTTTTTTTTCCTACTTTTCGACAAGGAATTTATTTCTGCCTGTTCTTAAGGTATATCTATTCCTTCCTCTAACTGATTATTTGGAGTAAGCAGCAGCAGCACTGGGATTTGATAAATACCTTATTACTGTAATGGGACAGAATGCAATGGATTGATGTCAGCAAAACTACACTAACGGATGTTTTTTTTTTCTGTCACATAATGAATTCCTCTCAGTGGGCAGTAAGTTGCTTTGTGAAACACAAGCATCGCAGAACATAGTCCACTGACAAAAGATTGAGAAAGCACCCTTCCCTTTCAAAAAAATCTATAAAGAGACGTGTGCTTTTAAAAAAAAAGATGACATAGTTTTGTTTGTGTGTCTAATGATTTAAACCCTAAACCTTTGACTTTTGACAGACTTTGGCACAGTGGTCATCCTGGTCAGGATGTTTCCAATAGTACCATTGTGCTTTGTGTAATGAAACCCAGCAGCTGTAATTACACTGATGGAGTTATCTTAGTAAGGGCACTATAGAAATAAAAGAATAAGAATAAGGTGTTTAGAGGTAAACTGTTGGCCTGTCCTGTGATTTTCTCAGATTGTGCAAGGTACTTTACTCCACACGTCAATATCTGCATTTCAATAAACCAAAACCCATTACCACCAGCCTAAGAATATTCTTGAATGTCTGAGCAGGACAGTAATATTTTCCATCTGTCTTCAGGCTGGAGAGAGTCCTCTGCACATAGGAGTACGCCACTGCCATGCCCACATTGTACAGGAGATCCTCAGCTATTTGGCCAATGAGAGGAGCCCCAAAGAGGCCACTGTGTGTGTCAGACAGGAGAACCAGGTGAGGGAAAGTCAGAGAGATGTGATTCTGAGTGATTGTGACACCAGAATGCAAGACGTGTTGTCACCATTCCTAGGTGGAGCAAAAAGCATGGAATACATGAGAACAAAAATAATTTAAGATGGTTGTCACATGTCATTCATGGTTTTGAATATTTTCTTATCAAATCAAAACCTATTAAATAAACAGTGCAGTGCTGTCCTATTTACAATACTATTTATAATACTGTAATGTGCACGGTGTAAAATGTTGTGTTGTAGATTGCATGTTGCTGCCTTTTAATATTTGTATGATCAAATTATCAGCAGCCATGAATAGTAGAGATCAGGTGCCATCAAGTGGTTGAGGCCTGTCGTTGCAGTCACTAGAACACAAGAGAAGATTACAAATGGCAGCAGACCACCTGACCCATCTAATTATCCACCCAGTCATAAGTGATCACTATTGCTAGGCAAAAAAAAGAAATGTAACAAAAGAGAAAATCCTCTTTTTTCAAAGTTGTTATTAATTGTACATTTAATTTAGCTATATCAATTTGACAAATGGTAGAGATCCATCCATTCTTTTTCTAACCACTTTATCCGACTGAGTGTCGCAGTGGAGCCAGAGGGTTTCTCGGTGAGTAATGGGCAAGGCAGGATACACCCTGGATGGGACGACAGTCCATCACGGGGCACACCCTCGCACCTGGGCGACGTTTCTCAGTAGTTTTTGGACTGTGGGAGGAAACCTGAGCTCCCAGAGGGAACCCACATGAAAATAGGAAGAATATAAAATCTCCCCGCAGACACCACATCAGACCTGAACCCAGTATCCCAGCACCGAGAGGCAGCAATGCTTACCACTGCCTCACCTTGGTCACCAGCCTATGGTCGAAATCCTTGTCACCAAAACACAGAAATCGGAAAACGAGCCAGCTCTTCAGATCCTTTCAACAACCCGTTCTTCTTCTCGTTTTCTCCTTTCCATGTTGGTTCTGTCTGTTCACTAGGTGCACAGGGCTGAGTAACTTAACTTTTAATAAAACAATGTGCCTGTAGGAAGGAGAGACGCCCTTGCATCTGTCTGCAGAGCTTAAGAAGGAAATGATCCACTTTGAAGGAGAGGACATCGCAATCGTCAGAATCCTCATGGAGTGTGACGCAGACGTCTCTGCAGCGACAAAAGTGGTAACACACTTTCATGAGGAAGACTAACAGTTTTTTATAGTGAGGAGCACAGCAGCCTCTTTTCTCACCAGATCCTTTTAAAAAACAGTCTCCTCCAAAGACATGGGTTTTGCTGGACTCTGTCACCTTTGTTTTTTACGTTTCTCATTTCTCTGCCCATGTGCCCGTCTCCAGCCCTCGTCACAGGACAGGATTCATCAGAAAACCTGACGTTGAACGTCACCTAACTCATTTCTCAAAGAGGTTCTGACCCAAACACTGTCTGCTGTGTCTTCATCAGTTGTTATCTGAGTTTTCTGTATCCCACCTACAAACAAACATAAGACAATGTAGGGAGAGGTTTGAATATTTTGAGCGTGCTGTCTCTTTGCAGTGTCTAAGTGGCTTTTTCCTTCTGTGTTTGTGAACATGCCGACAGTCTGGGGAGACACCCCTTCACTACTGTGCCAGAGTGGGCAATGCAGATGTCCTCCTGGAGATCCTCAAGAGCCTCAAGTCCAGTCAGCTGCAGCAGGCTGTCAACAAGCACGCCAAGGTACAAGTGTCTTCAACAGCTCGGACCTGGGAAATCAAAGTAGTGTCTTCTGAGGTGTGGGGTTGAAATCAGCTCCTTTTGAGTTTCTAATAAACATCCTGTGTTCCTGGTTTCGGGAACCAACACATCTGTATCGCTTGAATCAACACATCGCTGTTCATTACTTCAAAGAAAACGTTAGCCTCAGTCAATGTGATTTCGAGGGTATAAATTTGGTTTGCTTACCATTAAAAATCCCCCTTCGGTAAAACAAAAATGTATATCGTGGAATTTGTTCTGTGGTTTTGGGACAGAATGGGTGGTCTCCACTACTGCTGGCGGCAGAGCAAGGACACAAACAGATTGTGAAGATCCTGCTGCAGAATCATGCCAGAGTGGACGTTTTCGATGAAGTAAGACATCATCCTTTCCTCTAAGATCTCCGTCATGTAGTCGAAGACTGAATGGTTTTTCTTCAAAGAAGAATGGTTGTTTTCCCCATCTGTGACTAAATTAGTCCTTATGCCAGAATATTGGGTATGGTTTTTGCGGTGTGGCAAATATAAAGGCCTTTAATTTAGAAACAAATTTACCGTGTTTATAAAAAAAATTGCCTGCAAAGATTAGATTTCAGGTGTGCATGACGTACGGTTTTACTACATTACCAGTTTCACTCTCAGTCAGTCCTAAAAACGAACACTGTTAAAAAGGTGTCTATTACCATGAAGGATCCCAAGACATGCAGAGGAAGGTCTTCAGGTGATAATTGAAATGAACAGTCGTGCTTTTAAGGTTTGTACCTTCAGTTGCCCCTGGCTTGGTCTTCTTCTCTTGACATCCAGCACGGAAATGCAGCTCTGCACCTGGTCTCGGGAAAGGGCCATGAGGAGATTGCGGATATCCTGCTGTCACACAAAGCATTTGTCAATGCCAAGACCAAACTGGGCATGACTCCGCTTCACCTGGGGGCACAAAATGGCTACAACAGGCTGGTGCGGATGCTGGTGGAGACCCACATGGCCGGCATCGATGCCCTCTCTCTGGTGAGACACTTATTAGCAGTGAGCAAACTGCACATCTTTGTAAATGTGTTGTTAGGAATCCCTGGTGGGAAGATACAAGGATCCTGTGCAGACGCAGGCACGGGTGATAGATGAGGCAGGCGAACAATCCAAAAACGAGAGGCAAGGTCGTGGTCAAAAGGCGAAAGACAAGTCGTAATCCAGGAAGTTCTCCGGTAGCAAACAGTCCGAGGCGAGAGGCGAGGTGCAAAGTCGAAAAGGCAGAAGAGGAGTCCAATAACCAGAAAAACCGAGGTACGGGGAAAAAACGCCTGGTAGAGCTCTCGGGGAGTAGACTCAATACCGAGCAGCGGGAAGCAGGTGAAGATGGTATAAATAGCACTGTGCACTGCACGGTAGAGTGTGAGCAGGTGGTTTAACTCGTGCGGCGGCGTTTGTTAATAATCGCCCGCTGCTGGGGCTGATTAGCTCGCTTACGAGTTGGTCTTGACTGCCTGGTGGTCGTGACATGTGTACAATGCCCAATTAGCTTCTAGTGTGTCTACCTTGCTCAGTTTTCTTGGAAATTTTGCAGTGAAATGATAACACTTTTGTCCATCCATCACTGTCTTTTTATACCTAGCCATGATTCCCTTGTTTTCTTCTCTTAACATTTTATTGAACAGACAAGACATGGGTAGAAGGCATTAATCATACCTCTGTGCTTTCACTGTTCTTTATTGCATTTTGCTGTTTTTTTCATTACAGTATATAGCATACACTTTTAGAAGGTTAGTAGAAGTGAGGGCTGATGAAAGAGAAGAACTGGCAGGTTTGTGCTTGGACCTCCCCAGCACATTTGGTGTCGGTTCTCATGGTATCTCAGATCATGGGCTGTCACTGACGCGCTGTGGTGGGCTGTATTGTCTTGGTAGGTTAAAAGTTGCTGTCTGCAACAGTGCACTGACATAATCCATCCTCCAACATGGACTACAACACCAAAGGCACTACAATATTATTCTCTTGATACATGGGGTGCACTGGTTGCTTTCTTTCTGGGATTTTATTTCTTATTACCAGGCCTCACACTCTGCAGGTTAAATCACCTCATTACCTGTACTTTTCCAATCAACTCTCTCAGCAATGTGGTGACGTAGTGCTTACTGTACGTATCAATGTCACTGGAGCTGAGTTAATGAAAAATGTAAATCAATATCCAAAATATGCGTACTTTATTTTTCTGAAAACATAGATCTATAAATAGTTATCCTCTGATGCTCTGTTTACAGTATATGCTGGATAGATTGTAATCTCCCATATACATAAATTTCCTAATTTCCCAAATACATAAAATGCCATAGACAGCACTATGGCATACATGGGGCAGCCTGTCACCCTTCAGTACAGGTTTAGCAGTGTCACATATTGTGAAAAGTTAACTTTTCTTCTCTTCCAGAATAAACAGACACCTCTTCACCTTGCGGCTCTCAATGGTCAGCTAGAAGTGTGCAGCAGCTTACTTAACATGAGGGCGGACGTCAACGCTACTGATATTGTGAGTGTGGCCTATACTGCTTGCCAAAGAAAACTGGGTGGTCACAGCGTTCCAGGCAGCTCCTCATAGCAGCTTGTTGTGACTCACACCCTGAAAAAACCTGGAGGTTTACCCACTCCGTTTCCAGAACTGAAAAAGTCATAGAAGCATGGGGGTATAAATAAATATCCTGGGAAAATACAGAAGTAAAGCTGAGATGTGCTCTAAGGTGGTACATACAGTACCTAAACAGCCCAAAAATCTCAGATGGTAGTGAACGTGATTACAAGTTTTGTGGAAAAAAATAAAATTGTCCTGGAGGGAAATGCTTTCCCTGTGAACCTGGAGCTACTTTCCAGTGTGTTGGCATTGATAGAATACCTGAAAGTGCAAAGACAGACCATAGAACTCTGCTACCTTGTCACTCAAAAGCTTACATTCCAGAGCACCTGAGTTCAGCTTTTTTTATGGCATTTCATGCTAATGTCTGTGAGCCGTACAGCGATACCCCCTTCATCCCCACAGCACGGACAGACACCTCTCCATCTGGCCGCGGAGAATGACCACTCGGAGGTGGTGAAGCTCTTCCTGAACCACAGGCCCGAGCTGGCCACGCTGGCCAACGTCGAGGGCGCCACCTGTGCCCACATCGCCGCCTCCAAGGGCAGCGTGGCCGTCATCAAAGAGCTTCTCAAGTTCAACAAGGGCGGGATGACCTCTGCACACAACAAGGTGACCGCTCTACAAAAAAACACGGCGCGTGATTGTGTCTGAGAGAGAGAGTTTCATGGCAACGAAATCATGTGTTGTACATTGACCACCGAGGGGTCATCTAAGTCATGATGATAAAGATAAACTCCTCCTCTTGCAGTAACTTCTGAGAACATTTACAGTGCCTTGCGAAAGTATT